TATATTTCCTATTTGTTACTTTTTAATTTGCTTTTAAATATTTTACGATTTCAATTCGAATTACATGTCCTTTACAATAGTTTCTACAGCGAAAAACCGGACGGTTTGCTGTAGTGCAGAAACACATTTTACAGACGCTTGCAATAATTTTTGTCTCAATGATGGTACTTGCAAAAAGAATCCAATTGGTTATGTGGAATGTATCTGTAAGGAGAATTTTTCTGGCGAACGTTGCGAGGTTTGTTTTATTTTAATATCTCTGCTTTTCTAGTTTAAAACAATTAAAGCTTTTTTGTGTGATTATTTAGGCTCACATTTAGTTACCAGAATAAATAAAAACTCCAGGTGCGTTTCCAAGCAAGGACACAAAAAGTGGCACTTATTACTGCCGGTATAGGTGCAGTCGTTACCATTCTCGTTATCATCGTAGTTATCATATGGATGATATCATATCGCTTCAATCGCATTGAAGAATCCTCAGTACCAGAGAAATGTCCGGTAGAAGAAAACACTCATACCAATTTCTTGTATGGCCGCGTTCCTAGCGAACAACCGAGGTAGTTTTAAAGATGTTTTGCGTCTTATCCTCCTATTTGTTTCTCGATAAGCCACGAATTCAGTGTATTTATAACGTATATTTCAGACCTGTAGGCTATTATTACGAAGATGACGACGAATACGATATGAAAACAATGTTTGTGGGTGAAGAAGAAAAGGAAATGGAGGAGAGGGTACGCCATGCCCAGGCACATATGTACACTCCATCAAATAATAGGCTTGATTAAATGGTATCTTCGGTGCTCATTTCTAAAAATTTTCATGTTATATGAACGCGTGATTGCAACACAGTTATCTCTATCAGCTGACTGCTTTCGACTGAATCTAAATGAACCAAGCGGGTCGGGAAAAGCAGCATTCGTGTCACCAGTACAGCCCACAGAAACTCCATTTTATATAAAAATATGATTCTTTTACTAACTTTAAAGAATCGTTTTCAGCTTATTGGTCACATCTCGTAAATTAATTTACGTGCCGTAGTTAGAATCAAAAGTATTCAAATACGCAAGCATCATTAGCAAGTTAGCACTGCTAACGCACCAGAAGGCTAGGCGGCGTTCTCACATCGTTTCAGAATGTGCCTGTTATGCGTGTTTGGTTTTGTTGAACTTGGTATTGTTTTTGCTCAAATAAAGCAGTGTTACATATATATATAT